GGATCCTTGTCAAGATTCCACTGCGTTGGATGAGGCTTAGACCCTAGCTCAAGCTAGCAATAAAAGTTCCTTTGCTTTTGCATTCCCACTTGTGGATCTGGTCTCTCTGCAAATGGGAAACCCGGACCCGTGTATAACAGAAGAAGTTTAGAGGAATGAGGCATAAAGAAAGAAAGAGAGAAGAAAAAGAGAGAGAAAGATAGTAAGAGAGAGGAGAGAGAGAAAGAGAGAGAGAGAGAGAGAGAGAGAGAATATGCACTCAACAGAGAATGTGGCTTCTCCAGAGTGGAGCGGGAGCCCCAGGACATGCCTCAGCATTAGATAGGAAAGCACAGAAGCCCCCATCTCAAGAGGGAGGTTGAGGGCAACACCTGTGCTCGGGCACCACATGCACTCGGCAGCAACACAGGAGCACGGGCAACCCATGGGCCTGGGCAGCATATGCGCGCACTGTCTTTGCGCAAATTGTCTTTCATAGGGCCTCTCTCAACCTGTCCCCCATGGGGCTTCTACCTAGACAAGAGTCCATTGCTAGGGTGGTTGCCAAGCAGGTAAGAGTGGAGAGTATTTGATGTCCTTCCTTGAAATTCCTTTCCTGACCTCTGTTCCTGCTGGAACTTCTCTTGGCGGGGGGTCCAGCCTTCCCTGGGTCTGCTGGTGCCAGATCAGGCCTTAGTTCTGTGTCTACAAGGTAGGTTTCTCAGCCTTGGGACTACTGGTTTTATTACTTCCCAGGAATTCATTGCCATGGGGGGGGGGGGGGAGCTTCCCTCTCTCCCTGCCTGCCTCTCACCACTTCACATTCTTGGACATTTCTGGTTCTTTCTGTTCCTCCAGGTCCCTCCTCATCCCCCTTCATTCCAGCTGGTACTGTCCTGCCCTGCACAGCCTCCCCAGATACTCCCTCTGGGGCTGACTGCCCTATCTCCTCCCACCAACATATGTGGCCTGGCCCCTATTCTGGGCAACAGAAGAGGTCACAGAGGGGTCAGTGAGCTGCTCAAAGGGCTGGAGTGCATCCCTGCATCTGGAGACCTTGAGTTCGATCCCCGACACTATATGGTTCCCTAAGAAACACTTGGTAGGCCCCGCCCCTTGGGGCCAGAGTGCCAAACTATCCTCCCTACAGACTACAGCCAAATAGTCCCAGAAATGGCCACACCCCTTAAAATGCTTGGAAGACCCTAAAAGGAAAAGGACTGAGCAACCAGTGAGGCCAGCAGCACCATGAGGCTCCATCACAGGCCACATTCCCGGGGACCAGGAGAGGCCTCCGATCCTCCCACTCCACCCGGGTGGGAGAGCAGAGACTCGTGGGGTCTCCTGGGAACTCGGGCTCTGAGAGGGGGCCTGGGGCTTCTGTGTGGATGTGAGGGGAAAGGAGAGGGGAGCAGGAAAGGGTGGGGAGAGGGGCTTGGTCAGCAGAGGACTGCAGCTCATGGGAGAGGAAGGAAAATCTCAGGTCCCCTTCGCCATCCAGGTCACTCATCCCTGGGCCCCTGATTGAAAAGGCTGTGGGGTGTGGTATGTACACAAAATTCCCTTTCAACTCCCATCAGGGCATGGCCCAAGAACAGTGACAGGTGTGGCCTCTATGGCTGCAGGGTGTGGGCCTGGTGACTCCCAAACTTTGCCAGGGTAGAAGGGTCCTAGTGGACTTCAGCACCACTGGGGTGGACCCCAGTACCACTTTGACCTTGAGCAAATCACTGGGCCTGAGAACTGAGCAATTAGGCCTTTACACACACACACACACACACACACACACACACACACACACACACTCACACACAAACACACGAGAAAAAGTGAGAGACAGAGAGGCAGACAGAGACAGAGACAGAGAGACAGAGAGAGATGAAGGCTTGTTCAGCCTCTAGGTTTCATTGTTCCATCCCTATCTGTGTGTCAAATATTGTCCACTTTCTCTTTCTTCTTGGTCTCAATCCTATCTTCTGAACCCCGCCAACCACTTCCCAGTTCACTTTTGAATCTGCTATCAAATGCTGCCAAACTTTCTTCTAAACGTCAACAATTTCCCAGAGACTCCTCTAGGATCTAGGTGGTATCTGAGGATACAGAAGGGAAGAGTCTGACCATTGCCTTGGGAAAACAAGAATTCACCCCGGGCCAGTATCCCCTGTGGACTGCCCCAGGCTGTAACCCAGGACAGCATAAGCCCCACATGTCACAAAGACAGAGTTGACAATGGCAGAGTAGCTGGGCATCTCTCTGCTCACCATCAGTCACTGCGCCCTGACCTCTGGACACCTGTGGGTGAATTTTGCTCCCTCCCCCCACCTAGGTCAGACCATCCTCTTGCATTCCGCCCCAACACTGGGTTTAACACGCTGAGAAGGACACTCAGAGAAGACAGAAGGCCAAGTTTTCCAGACTCTGAGCTCACATCTTCATGCATTGTTCTGAGACATGTGGACCTGCTTAAACATTTAAGGACGGGCACCGTGAGACGCAGTGGGAGCTCGAGTCTCTGGCCGTAGGTGCCTGCGACCCAGGACACCAGCTCAGGTGGTTTGTCAACACTCGGCATTCATCAGCACTGCACGGGCCAGAGCAGGGCGGCTGTCCCCAGGCAGCAGGACTTGACCGTGACTCATCACAAGAACACAGGAGCCTGTAAGTGGGAGACCCGGCATCCAACGAGTGCCGCCACAGTGACCCATTCACTTGACTCCTGCCCCTATCTGGGAGGCTGCCCCCCTAATCCACAATGCCAAGGGCCAGGTCACATCTAACCTGCTCAGGTCACATACATAGACCTGCCCCAGATACGCCCCAAGGGTCACAACTCCATCCTGGGCAAGCCCAGCAGACCCAACCCTGGGTGGGATGAGGACGGCCAGGGCTGCTGGTGACCCAGCATCGGAAAAGGGTCACGGCTCAGACTCGGGATGAGAGAACACGAGGGTCAAGGTGAGACCTGGCCCAGAGGGACACTGAGGCCCCGGACAGGCAGGGGCTCCCCTTCTCCCAATATCCCAGACTTGGTTCTGTGCAGCAGATGGCCTGGTCGGCCCCAGAAGCTCCCACTCACACCCTCCTGCCGTCGAGGGGCACCCTTCAGCCTCCCCTTCCACCCTGCCTCCCACCCACCCATACAGTTTTCTAGGTTTACCAATGAGAAGTCCCAGCACCACACACAGAACTTTCACCCCAAACTCACTGTGGACGGCAGCGGGTCCCTCGATGGCTCCTCAGGCACTGGGAGATGTGATGACCACACGCACAGCCACAGTCTCACCCAAACTCCTACCCTGAGAAGCCCCTCGTGACTGGCCCCAGGTGGATTTGGACCTTTGTGCTTCCAGTTTGGCAGGAAATACCATGGGGTGGGGGGTAGAGGGGGTGCTGGAAGGGGGTGGGCATTGCTGGCATCATGTCTGGACACTTCATTAATCTGGAGCTGGCCCTGGGTCAGAGCAGGGCGGCTGGGACCCACAGGGACCAGGACCCATGCTGCCAATCCTCAAGCCAAAAGCCAGAGGACTCCCATCCAGCAGCCAGGGTCAGCTCCTGCCTGGGCCTGGTCAGTAGCTAAGCGACTACGCAGCAACTATTACACTGGTCTGAGGTCTGCTCACGCCTCCAGGGGGCGACAGCAGAATAACATACAGGCCCAGCACGTTCACACCGGCCCTGGGCTCTTCCCTCTTGTATCTATAGAACTCTTGGGGCTCCCACCCCACCCCCACCCCCCTTCCCCCAGCCCACCCTTTCAGTCCATTCCTTTTGGAACTTCAGAACCACAAGGACAATCTCCCCCGCAGGGCCCCTGCGCAGCCCCCTCGGCCCCGCCTGGCACCACCGTGGGCAAGCTGGGGGAACAGTGGGAGTCAGCAGGCAGAGGACAGGGGATCCCGGGATGGTAAGTGAGCGATAGGATGGGCTCGGAGTCACGGGCTCAGCGAGGGTCGGTTGCTCTGGAATCTTCCACCGAGAACCAGAGAGCACTGTGACTCTCCATGCGGTCTCAGGCCCCAGAACACCTAGTAAAACTCTCCTCGTGTAGAATCTGGGTCTGGGCCCACACAGGAGCCAGCTGGGGCCCTGCAGACCAAGAGGGGCCTTCCTGTGCTCCCCTGCATACCCCAGAGCCAGGGTGGGCCTGGGGCCCCCACTCCCGTGTTTCTGGGTCACACCTGGGATTGCTGACAGGCAAGACCTAACAGAGACCAAGAAGGTGGTCGTCCACCAGGGACAGGGTCCCTTCAGTGCTGCACTGAAGTGGGCACCATGGCCAGGCTGACCAGCACCCCCTACGAGCCTGGTAGCAGTACACTCTGGGATTCCCACACCTGCCAGCCAGAACCCTCATTTCTCAGAGTCTCAGAACCCCCTAACACAGGGCAGCTCCCCTACCACACACACACACACACACACACACACACACACACACGCACATGCACGCACATGCCATGGTCTCACCTGATGGGGCCTGTTACCTGCAGCTCCTGTAGCATTTAAGGGCTCCCCTGGGTATGCGTCACCTTTATAAAGTGCCACAGATGGTTCCTGGGCATCGAGAGGACATTAAATTCTGAAACACCGCACGTCCTGCTCTGGAGGAAGAATCCAGAAGGGGGAAGAGTGCAGTAAGTGGGGGGGACACCAGTGCACCCCACCTGAAGCTCTGGGGAAGCCCTGGACATAAGCACCGCAGGACTGAGCTTATCCGAAACAGGGCGTGTGTCCATGTGTGTGACTTTGCATACATGTATGTGTGTGTGTGCACATGCATGTGCTTTGCGCAGCCCCAGCTGAAGAAGTGGCCGCAGTCCTTTCCAGGAAGCAAAGTACAGACAGGAGAGAGGAGAAGGGCCAGGAGGGGAGGGGGAGGAGAGGAGCAGAGGCCCCACCCCCAGCACATGACTGGCCCAGCCTCCTGCCCCCACCCCCAGCAGCTCAGCTCAGGAGGAGGAAGCTCAGGGTCTCACACATCTGTCTGCCTGCCTGTCTGTCTTTCTGGTAGCAGTGGAGCCTGAGTGTCTTCCTGGGTTTCCAGCAATTCTCCCAGCCGGTGGGAGCCAGCAGCAGTGGACACATGGAGTCCCCCTCAGCCCCTGCCCACAGAGGGTACGTGCCCTGGAAAGGGCTCCTGCTCGCAGGTAAGGGAGGGACTTTCCTGGGGGTGGGCAGGGGACACAGGCTGGGGTCTTCTGGGGGCACAGAGCTCTGAGAGGGGACAGAGTATTCCCTTTGCATGTGGGGGAGAGCATGGGGGGAACAGGGTGAGATTGGGAAGAGGGCCTGGGGGGACAGGTCAAAGTGCTAAAGACCATCTTTGCATGTGCTCAACCCCCAACCCTGCAGGGTCTCCAACCCTGTGCAGGAGGCACCACTGGGCACACCGGGTATGGCCCGAACAACAGAACAAAACAGTGTCGGGGTGGGGGCTTGGCATGGGAATTCTCATGCTGTGACGGGAGGGGCAGGAAAACCTCAGCTGTCCGGTGGATGAGACGCGTCTTGGTCAGTCTCTGCGGATAAGTCGGAACTGAGGCCTCGAATCCTGTCCTCATGCACCGTGTCAGGACTCGGGGAGCCAGGCGGTGGACCTGGGAGCCCCATCACTCAGCACAGGGCTGGAGCTGTCCCACGGGCCCTGTCCTCACGGGCGCACCACAAGGAATCTAGAAGGTGCAGTTAGGGACGGACAAGGTTCAGGGAGGAACAGCAGGAACGGGTCCACTGTGAAGTGGGGTTTCAGAGCAGGAGGAGGGGGTATCTCCCCAGGGCCCTGAATGAGCAGGATCTGGGACAGGGAAGGAGGGAGGGAGGGAGGGAGGGGCGACATCTGAGGAGAAGGTGACAAAGAACAAAGTCGGGCGCTGAGTGAAGGTACTCCTGCCTGACCCTGAACCCATAGTGTATGTGTGTGTGTGTGTGTGCGCACACACACACACACACACACACACACACCAAAATCTACAGGACTGAACACTCATGGTTGAGGTGCTGGATGTGGTTAAGGGGGTTGGGCCACAGCAGAGGTGCTCAGAGATCACTCCTGGCTCTGTGCTCAGGGATCACTCCTGGCTCTAAGCTCAGAAGTCACTCCTGGTGGGGCAGAAGTCAAGCCCAGTCGGCCACATGCAAGGCAATGCCTTAACCCTTGTACTATCTCTCAGCCCTCCAGGACATATTTTCCTCCCCCGCATAACAGGCCTAATCCTCCAACTCTCTCTGATTCCAGCCGCACTCTTACCTTTCTGGAGCCTGCCCACCAATGCTTTTTCTGTGGAACTAATACCGGCCAATGCTGTGGTAGGGGACAGTGTCAATATGCTTGTCCACAAGATGCCAGAAAATGTTTTACGCTTAGACTGGTACAAAGAGTCCGTTGAACCAAAGAACATCATTGCAACATTGAAATCAAACCCAGAAGCTATTGTTAATGGGCCTTTATACAGCAACCGAGAGACCCTGTTCAACAACGGAACCCTGCAAATCCGGAACCTCACCCGGGAAGACAAGGCCACCTACCTCTTACAAGCCATTACACTGGGAAGTGACATTTTACAAGGAAAAGGAGAGCTCGGCGTGTACGGTGAGTGGTGCTAGGGTGGGGAGGGGCCAAATCTAATTATCACATGGAATTTGGTCCCTAACAGGGCTGCCCTCTCCCCTGCATGAAGCTCCCCCACTGAGGTATTTAAGCATTTGTGCAGGACAAACATGAAAGGGAAAGATCCAGTTCCTGACCCAGAGTCCGACCCTGCTAGGGGAGGTCAGCCTCGGTCTAGACACTGTACCCCAAGAGCAGGCCCCTGAGAGATACACTGTGTGGTTCACAGGAAGCAAAGTTTCCTGAGCTCTGTGCTCAGGGATCATTGTTGAGCTGCTCTCAGCCAGGGCTCAGCCCAGGGCCACATGTGTGTGGGGACAGATCTGTCCTTCCCGAGACTTCAGCACCAAGCACAAGGGGCAGGTCCCCAGGCCACTAGCTACAAGCCAGGGGGCTTAGGAGGGAGGGTGGCCCCAGGAGGGAGCAAGAGAAAAGATGCTCCTGGCAGCCCCCCCAAAAGATTCTACTGGAACTTCATGGGGAACAGTGACCGCTGAGGCCGGTCATGGGGGCAGCTTTGCTTTCCCTGACTCACCATCAGTAAGTGGGATCCAGGAAGGTTCCCATTCAGATACCTGCATGGCAGAAGATACTGCCTGGTTCCACTGAGGGAAACTGAGGCACAGGGGAATAGTCACTGGGTCTATTACCTAGAACACAACCAATGAGCCAGAAGAGTCCCTACCTGATCTTCCAGCCCAAGGGCCCAACTATGCCTCTGTGGACCCGGACACCAAATGGCCATTAAGTCCTTTTCCTGGGTGGGGAGAGCTCAGTGGGCTGGAGCACGAGCCCCCAAGCAAAACGAACAAACGTCCCAGCCACATCTGACCCTGGGACTGCTGACCCCCTTCCTGCTCCTCGCTGTGGGAAGGGTGAGGCTTCCAAGTCCTTCCTGGGCTGGCTAGGCCCTGAGCCCTCTGACTCGCGTATTGTCATGGTGACACCTTATCCATAGGGCAGAGATGGGGGCGGGGGCAGGGAGTGTGCAGCTGCTGAGACCTTATTTGATCACTGAATCCATCTCAGTGTTCTCTGGGATGAAGAGGATAGCCACACGCCTTGTCCCCGTTGCTTCATTGTCTACAGGATGGGTGGCAGCTCCGGCTTTTCTAAACTTGATGCGTCACTCATACTCATTCGGAAATACTCTCCTTCTCATAGTTGACCACCCCCCCTCCATTCTGTCCCCTAACAGGACCTACCCTTCTCTCACCCAGGGAACCAGTAGCTTCAAACCCACAGTACTGTCTCCTGAGGAACTTCCTGTGTTCCTGGTAGGCAACAGAACTTGGACTAGGGCTCAGAGTGTGAGCCTGGGACATGCCTCAGAAACTGTCTCCTGTATGGGGCATGAATAAGGATCTTCACACATTCTCTCACACTTCAACTTCTCTGGTCCCTACCTCAGAATTGCCCAACAGAAACGGTCCAGGAGAGCAGCTTCCAGCAAGTTCTGCTCTCCTGGGAGAGAGAACACCAACACTTCTCACAGCCACCCTCTGCAGCTGCTGTGGTCCCTGAGTTTCAGGACACACCAAGACCAAAGGCAGGGAATGTGGTTCTACCAAACCAGACAGCTCCCACCTGTCCCCCTAAAGCCTTCCTAGGACTTTGTTCTGCCCTTTCCAGGGTGCTGTCTGTCAGTCACACAGACCTCCTGGAATAGCTGCCCCTCCTGAGCCTACAGTCTGAGTGCTGAACAGGCCCCCCCAGGTCTGCTTCTTGACCCCACATGTCATTTCTCTCAGACACCCAGTTGCAGGCCTGCAGCCCAGGCATCTCGGGAGTGAAGGGTTGTGGGTGGCCTCCCACCACGACCTCTAGGAAAGTGTCAGTGGACCCCATCAAAATTAATCCCCTCGGTAGTACAGGTGTCTACAGGTGAAGGGCAGACTCCAGGGGGGCACTCTGAGGCAGATTGGGTCTCACTGGAGAGAGAAGAGCAAGAGAGGCACAGGGACTGTTGATTCCCATCCCGTGTCCTTCATACTCCAACGCTGAGACTTTATTGACCCTGAGATGCTGAGCTTCCCCCAGGCACAGCAGGGCCCTTCCAGTCCCCAGCTCCACCCTCACACCTTCTTCAGAGATGTGCACAGCTGCCTCACTGAGCGGAGAGATGCCAACTCTGACGACGGACACCCCTGGAGGAATCCGGACATCACAAGGACCACGTTCTCTGTTCCCCATACAGTGCTGTTAACCAAACCCACCATCAACGCTGACAACGAGAGCCCCACGGAGATGAAGGAAACAGTGAAGATGCAGTGTGATCCGGAGACTCCAGACACAACCTACCGGTGGTTCTTCAACTCTAAACCTGTTGTTCTGAGTGATGGGCTGGAGCTGTCTATGGAAAATCGGATTCTGACTTTAAACCCTACCCTGAGGAATAACACTGGAGCCTATGTGTGTGAGAACTGGAACCCTGTGAGCTCCAAGACCAGTGACCCATTCAACCTGGTTGTTTTCTGTGAGTAACTCATCCCTACCTGTGAATCCCCCAGTTCATACTGACAGGTGACATTGGACTGGCACCTGTCTTAAGTACCCAGCACCGCCTCCCTCATGCCCCTCACCCCCAACACTTAACATGCCCTATCCAACCCCAGCCGGGCGACAACTCAATCCCCAGCAGGCCCAGAAGCCCTGACCCTGGGTGGGATGAGGACGGCCGGCCCACCGTGCCCTGAGAGGCCCGAGTCAGTGGCCCACCATCAGAATAGGGTAAGGGCTCAGAGAGAACACGAGGGTCAGGGTTGGAATTTTAGAGCAAGGTGAGACTGAGCTCAGAGGGACACTGAGGCCCGGGATAGGCACGGGCTCCCTTTCCCCCCAACATCCCAGATTTGGTTCTGTGTTGCAGATGGCCCAGACCCTCCCGTCATCTCCCCCTCAAAAACCTTCTACCGTCGAGGGGCAAACCTCAGCCTCTCCTGCTACACAGCCTCCCACCCACCTGCGAAGTTTACCTGGATTACCAGCAAGCAGGCCGTGGTATCTGCACAGAACTTCTTCATACCCACCCTCTCTCCGGATGACAGCGGTTCCTATACCTGCCTTGTCAATAACACTGTCACATCACTCAGTAATAACATGACGCTCGAAATCATAGTCTTAGGTAAGTGTCTTCCTGGAATTTTTGTTCAAAACTTGGGTTGAAGGTTGTTCCCCCCGCCCCCAAATGCAAGCCTGGGCCAGAGTTCCCACTTTAAAAGCAGGGGTCCTGGGTTCACAACCCCGTGCTGCATGGTGCCCTGAGCACCAAATCTCACTCAAAACACAAAACAAACAAAAATGACTGAAAGAAGATATTTCCCTGCTGTCCATGGACACAAGTGAGTCTCAAATTCTTCCCCTGGCCTCCCTCTTACAAGTCTCCACAGATTTTTCTGCTCCATATGTTTCAGATTTCTCTTGGCTCATACAGCAGAGCCTGAAATGTGCTGGGGCTTTGTCTGAGACCCAGAGGCCCTGCAGGGTAGCAGATTAGAGGGAAGCACTAAGGTTCAGCTGCTTTTTGCCTCAAGAAGTACCTCTGTCCCCATTTTTGTTACCTGCGTTCTGTGCTACGCTACAAGGGGAGTAGATGATTTTGATTTGAGTGCCAGTCCTTTTCCCAGAGGAGAGAATGAAACCTCTCAGTAGCTGTGGGCAGGACAGAACCGCCTCTTTGCTCTGCCTTAAGCCTGCCCTCAACCTGCTCTGATGCCCTCAGGGGTGGGATTGAGCACATGGAAAAGGGGCCCCGGCTACCTGTTTCCAATCCTGCCACCAAGTAACACTGAAGCTTCCCCAGGCCAGGATGCAGGGAGTGGGGGGAGGGAGCGAGCCTGGGAGGCTCCTCTGAGCTTGCCCTGCTCTCAGCTGTCTGACACTGCAGCACCCACCTACCCAGGTGACAAACAGAACTGAGCCCACCCCCCAAAAAAAGGGATGGGGGCTGGGGGTGATAGCAAAGTAGGTAGAGCACTTGCCTCACACGTAACTGACCCGGGTTCAATCCCAGCACCACATCTGGTTCCCTGAGCACCTCCAGGAATGGTCCCTGAGCACAAGGCCAGGACTAAGATCTGAGCACTGCTGGGTGTGGCCCCAAAAGCAAGCAAGCAAGCAAGCAAACAAAAAAGAATAAATATGTGGTATCCATTCCTGAGAAGCAAGGAGCAGGGTGACGACATGATTTAAGGAGAGATGGACAGCACCAGCCTTTTATACCGTGATCGCTTTCCTAGAGATTTCTTCTCTGAGAGATTCGAGATAAGCATTGGGAATTTTCAGAGTGAGAAATCCCTGAGCCTAAGGTTAGAAGGACTGGCTGAGCTATTCCACCTTGCTGAATAAAACATTTACCAAGGAAACATCTTTCTTTTTTCATGGAAAGCTACTGTCCATGACAGAAGGTTCAGGCCTTTATCCAGACACAGTCTGTGTCTGGATAAAGGCAACCGCAGGGTGAGACAGTGGGAGAAGCATTCCATTACTGAGGTGCAGGATAACATGCGCTGAGAAGAGGTTCCTGAAGCTGACACAGAGATTGGGGGGGAGGGGACAGGTTGGGAGTCATCTTGAGGTAAATGAGGGTTATAGGTAGAGAAGTTGCCTTTTCCTTAAGGGTTGTCAGGAAACAAACACCATCTGTATGGCCGGGCCCCCTCTGGTGACCTCTGTACACTGTGGCTGAGGAGACTAAGATGTCTGAGGAAGGCGCAAGCCCAGGTCCCAGCTCGTCCTGTCACTCCAACTCATTTCTCTACAGACCCAGTGACATCAGCCAACATCAAAGCCTCCAACACCACAGTGCAAGAAGGTGATAACTCTGTGACCCTGCTGTGCCTCACCAATGACACTGAGATCTCCATCCAGTGGCTCCTCAATAACCAGACTCTGCAGCCCTCAGACACAAAGGTGCTGTCTCAAGACAACAGGACCCTCATCCTCAAGACTGTCTCAGTGTACGATGCCGGGAACTATCACTGTGAGGTCTCCAACCCCATCAGTTCCCTAAATAGTCCCACCGTGAAGCTGGAGGTGACTCGTAAGTGACCAATTAATTATCTTGTATCTTCCTGGGGAGATAGTCTAAGTGGAGTATGAAGCGGATGGAAATCAACGGCCAGAATATCAATCAACAGACCATGACAGTTACCAGATGGCAAAATGATAAGAGCTCAGCCTTCAAATCAAAATATTTAATTTTTTATCCTGAGTCTCACATTTACTCTGTGGCCTTGTCAAAAATGTGTTTTTTTTTTCTGTTACCATTTTATGTGGTAAGATTTTACCATTTTAACCACTTTAGATGCACAGTTCAGTCGCATTAGTGATTCATATTATTCATATTCATATTATTGTGCAATTTCCAGAGCTTTTTTATCCCACCCTACTAAAACTGTGCCCATTTCACAGTAATGCCCCCGCCTCTTAACTCCCTGGTAACCACCATTCTACTTTCTGTCTCTACAGAGCTGACCATTCTAAAGTTCTCATCATCTGTTCTGTGCATGATTTCACTTAGCATAATTTCTTCAAAGTTCACCCATGTTGTAGTATATATAAGAATTTAATCCGTGTGTGTGTGTGTGTGTGTTTGTGTGTGTGTGCTGGTGTCTGTAGCTGCTGCTGCTATGGGGTTTAACCAATATTCTACTTCCCTTCACTCACAGGAATGTTTATTAAAACACCATGATTTACAAAGTTGTTCATGATAAAGTAGTTTCAGGCCATCTTATCACCAATGTCCCCTTCCTTCAGTGGTCCCAAGAATCTAAGTGTGTAGTGAGCTGTGTGATCTAGGTCTTTGGAAGGGCACTATGACCTTAGTACAGCAGTGAAGATCACTTAATGACACATTTCTCGGAACACATCCTGTCATTAAGAAATGCATGAATGTACTATCATATTTTGCTTATCATTCACTTATCCATAATGCTTTAGGCTGGTTTTAATGTTGTTTTTATGATTAATGCTTCTCTAAACTCAAGGATATACACGTCTTAATATATATCCCCAGAGGCTGGGGATGTGGCTCAGTAATATGGCACAGTACTCAAATGTGTGAAGCCCTGGGTTTAATGGCCAGCACTGAAAAAATAACTGTTCTAATTCCTGCTTTCAATATTTGCGGTTATATATCCAGAAGTGTAACTACCAGTAATTCCTTACTCTTTTTTTTTTTTTTGTAGAGGTCACACCTGGCAGTGCTTGGGGGAATCACTAGGGCTATATCTGGAAGTGCTGGGGATTCATGTGGTACCAGAGATTAAACGCAAGCTCTACCACGTGAGCCACATCCCCAGCTTCTGCTCATTTATTTTTTCATGAACTGCCACATCTTCTTTATTGGCTGTGCCATTTCACTTTCTCATCAGCAATTCACAGATACTCTCCACAGCTTTGCTAATACTTGTTTTGAGTTTGTTTTTGTTTGTGGGTATGCTTGTTTTTCTGTAATAGTCTTTTGATGAGTATTCGGTGATTTCTCATTGTGGGTTTGAGCTACATTTCCCTCCTGGTTACTACTGTTATTTTCTTATGTGCTTATTTCGCATTTATGTATTGGAGAAATGTCTAAGTTCATTGTGTTTTCCAATTGTTTTGATGTTCTTGAACTGTAGTTCAACTCTATTCCATCAGTCTTTATACCTTAAAGCTCAGCCCATTTTTTAATTTCAAAATTGTATATACAAATAACTTAGTCTCACTTGTGTATTTTTTTTTTTTTGGCTTTTTGGGTCACACCTGGCAATGCACAGGGGTTAATCCTGGCTTTGCACTCAGGAATTACTCCTGGCGGTATATCAGGGGACCATATGGAATGCTGGGAATCGCACCCAGGTCGGCTGCATGCAAAACAAATGCCCTACCCACTGTACTATCTACTTGTGTATTTTTTTTTTTATCATGAAAGGATGTTGAATTTTCATCAAATGCTTTTACTGATTCAGTCTACTTACCGGTATGGGTCTACATATATTTTATATTTATAATTCTATCTTGGTAGATTTTGTGTTTCTAGGAATTGACTTATTTTATCTGGTAAATTTGTTGATATACAATTATTTATAATAATATTATAATTATTATCTCTGTGAAACTGGTAGTAATTGTCTCCACTTTCATTTCTTTAGTCATTTAAATCTTCTCTCTTTAGTCTACTTGAAAGCTTGTTGATTTTGTTCATCTTTGATGAACCAACTTTTGTTTTATTTTGTTTCTATTTAGGGGCTACACCAGGGCTTACTCCTGGCCCTGTGCTCCTGGTGGGCGTGGGGGGGACCATATGGGGTGCCCAAGACAGAAATCAGTTTGGTCACATGCAAGGCAAGCACTCCACCCTCTGGACTACCTCCCCAGTCCCTGAAGAAAGAAACAAAATTCAATTTTTGTTTCACTGGGTTTTCTCTTGCTTTTCTGTGTGCTATTTTACTTATTTCCATCTAATCTTTATTATAATTTCCTTCCTTCCACTAGTTTTTTAGTTTATTCTTTTCTCCTAGTTTCTTGCTTTTTATTTTTCAATTTACTCACTGAATTACAAAATTATTCATGATTGACTTTCAGGCATAAAATGTTCCAACAGCAGTTCCATCACTAGTATCCATTTGCCTCCACCAATGTCCCCAGTTTCCCTCTCACCCACCAGCCTGCCTCTGACAGACACTTTTAAAATAAACTCGGGCACTGGTTTACAATACTGTTACTGATAGTTTCCTGCATAACATTTTACCACCTTTCAGCATTCTCTCCTCCCAAGCGACCACTTCTCTCCACCATTGTTCTTGTGTTCTCTCCTCCCCAGTGGTAAGCTTCCCAACTGAATACCAGTTCTCATGCTCTTTGTTTCTCTAGCCTTTGGGCATCTGTTATTCCCTAATGTTTTATAGCCCACATGTGAGAGAGGTCATGGTCTCTCTCCCTCTAACTTCACTCAGATCTGGATGATACTCTCCAGATCCATCCAAGTAGCAGCATATTGCATGATTACCACTTTCCTTTTTTCCAAAATCTTTCTTTGTTGATAAAAGACACTTATTTTGCATTTTTATACAGAAAAACCTGAATTCTTCACTGTGACTTGACAAATATCTAGAGGTTTATAATGTGTTCATCTCAACAGTGTGGTCCTGGGCTGGAGTTATGAGGGAGACGGGGTCACAGCAGGAGTTATTTCCATCCTTTTTTAAAGAAAAGGCAGGAGAGCAGTCTGAGTCACTGACAGCCTGTGAGCTCCTGGGGAGTGGCAGCTAGTTCTTTTTTTTTTTTTTTTTAGTAGGGCTGGTGGGGGAGGGGGTGTGTCACACACTTGGCAATGTTCAGGGGTTACTCCTGGCTCTACACTCAGGAATTACTCCTGGTTGTGCTTGAGGGACCATATGTGATGCTAGGGATCAAACCAGTTGGGTCGTGTGCAAGGCAGATGCTATACTATTGCTATACTATTGCTCCGCTATACTATTGCTCCAACCCTTTTTCCCCAGTTCTTAGAGCTGTCAAGTTAGGTTGTTGATTTAAGATCTTTCTTTGTTTAATTTGAATCTTAAATTTTCTCTGAGCCCCATATTCCTGAATTACAGTGAAGCATGTTTTATGATCCTTTTTAATGCTTTGAGCTTTAATGTCTTAAAGATCTAATTCAATATTAAGTTGACTTTAGCATAACATTGTACAAGCACATGGAGGAAATATATATATGTATATGCTTATATACATACATATATATATTAGGGGGTGCAGTGACCACACCCAGCTGTGCTCAAAGCTAACCCATGGCTCTGCACTCAGGGATCACTCCTGGCAGGCCTGGGAGACCCTGTCGGGTATTGGGAAGCCAACCTGGGTTGGCCTCATACAAGACAAGCACCTTACTCGCTATACTATTGCACTGACCCCATCATCAGGGAAAAATTACTTACCTCGGAGTGCACTTCCTACAAAAAATGAATTCTTCAAAGGAACAATTAGGGACAGTTTCAAGTTGAGAGTTGTTTCCAGGGCACACTCACTGTGAAATAATGTCACCTTCATTCATTCTTCCCTTTCTTTCCCTGACAGCTAAGCCTACGGGCCTATCTGCTGCAGCCACTGCCGGCATTGTGATTGGAATCCTGGTCGGGCTAACTATGATAGGAGGGGTGCTGTACTTCATGTATAACAAAAAGACCGGAAGGTATGATAGCCTTTCTTCTAGCTGTGCTTTCCCCTGCTCTAACCACTGTGCTTGGCAGAAGGAGGGAGTCTGGTCCGCTGGTCCCGGGGCAGCTGTCCCTTGCTAAAACCTTGCTTCTTGGCATGGACTGTTGTGGGCTCTTCTTCCCTGTCCCCACACTTCCCATACCCCACTATCACTAGTCTTAAGTTATTTCCATATCCATATGGTTTAAAGGGGCAGACCCAATTGTGTTCCTCTGTCCCCTACTCGGGGAAACTAAGGCCCAGGAAAGAAACAAGAAAACAAAAAAGAGCAAGAGAAAACAAGTTATGTCCCCTGTTGACCATAATAGCAGGAAAAAGAGGGGAAAGTACAGAAAGATAACTGGAGAGAAAGTAGAAGTACTTTGGTTTTATTAATTTTATTATTTATTATTTATTTTATTATTTTATTAAAGTCAGTATTATATCGTGTCATTACTTTATTTTTAATTATTTATTTTAAAGTATTTTTATTTATTATTAGCTTAATTTTATTTGGCTTTATTAATTTTTATTTTGTTGGTAAAGTGAGAGAGGGGGAAAAGCATTTATCTTTAGAGGAGGCAGAGGTAGCCTTGGAATAAATCTAATGAGCCTCATAAAGAATAAGTAGTGCCCCAGGACAGACACTCTAGACCAGGAAGGCCTGAGTAACATGGCCACATTTCCAACAAAAGCAGGAAGTCAACAACTAGAAGGGCTGGTGGACAGGTTAGAGGAGGTTCCCTCAGAGTCAGCATCAATTATGATTAGATGAACACGGAGGAGCTCCAGAGAAATACCTGATGACAGTGTCCTTTCTAATTCAAGGAGCAAAGGTCCTATGCTTGGGAATAAGAGTCACGGTGTCTGATATTTATTTAGGGCAAACGACCAGCGCCATCACACAGAAAACAAACTCCCATCTTCCAACAACAGTAAGTACAGCATTCACCCCCGAGATCGGATGTGTGTCCCCCCACCCCCCACCCTGTCCTGGCAGGGAATCCTAGACTCCAACCACTTCTTTCAGAAGTGTAGCTAGAGAACCGAGTCCCCAGAGAACAGCACCCTAGGAGAGACGCTCTAGCCCAGGCAGGCCTGAGTAACACAGCCGTGCTTCCAGGAGTCATTTTCTCATCCTGCCTCTCTCCTCCTGCCTCTCTCACTGATGTGGGCATTCTCTGGGTGAGACTTTCCCTGTCTTGTGGTGTTCTGGGTGCTGTGGGCCTCGGTAGCCCTCTTTTGGCATTGGAGCTTGTTGCTGAGAAACACATTTGGGCAAAAATCAAGACCTTGGAACTGGGAGAAATCAGATAAGGAGTGAAGCTTTCGGTGGCTCTTTTCCTCTGATACTAACATCTGGGATTGAGGGAAAGACCAAAGGAATACCAATGTGCTTTAAAGGATTTTCAGCCGCCACCTCCTTCCACTAGAAAAGCCATAGGCAGCTTAACATTCCACGAATTGGTGACTCTTCCTTTGCTTCTCCAGGTCAGGACCACTCTGACAACCCAGTGAACAAGGTAAGCACAGCCCGTTTCAATGACTCAATTCTCCTTCTTTTTGGGTCACACCCAGCATTACACAAGGGTTACTCCTGGCTCGTGCACTCAGCACTCCTGGTGGTGCTTGGGGGACCATATGGGATGCTGGGAATCGAACCCAGGTTGGCCACGTGCAAGGCAAACGCCCTACCTGCTGTGCTATCGCTCCAGCCCCCACCAATGATTCAATTCTCAAGAAAATATTTATGTCGAATGGCAGTAATGTGAGATCAAGTCTGGATCAAATTTTCTCACAGCTGCAAGAGAGTGTTGGCTGGTTATTCCCATGAGTATACTTCAAAGCAGGAATGTGAACTTTAGAATTATCATTCTGTTCTGGAATCCTGGCTGTGACTCTTAGTAACTCTCAGGTTGGGAAATAACCTCTTTAGTGGCAAGCTACCTGTGACTTATTCAATATGCCAAACACAGTAACAACAAGTCTCACAATTTGTTGTGAGAAGTTACTGGTGCCTGCTCTAGCATATTGATGAACAACTGGAGGACAGTGCTACAGTCCAGTGCTACAGTCCTCAGCTGTGTCATCTGTTAAGTTATACATACCTCTGAAGTCAGACAGAATTCAAACATATGTAAAGTGCCCAGCATAAGGAAGACACTAGATCTTTCTCCTTCTTCTAATTTAATCTAACCCGTTCCTACTGTCAAAGAATCAGTTTCTTCCTAATGGGTCTGAGATCTTCATTGTTACTTTACAAGCACTTTACAGAATGTTTCTTATCTTAACCTTGCAACAACAGAGCAAGCATATATACTTGAAAATGCTTAAATCATAAGTTTATTATAATTACATTGTAACAATGAATAGTTTCACAGATTGAGAATACCCATGTAAAAATCAACCAAGAAACAAAATATATGATCCTCCCACTCAAAACAGCCTCCAGCCACTATTCCTTATCCATTATCACCACTATCCTGATACCCATTTTGCCTGTTTCAGTTCTTAGACAAAGGAAAAATGCAGAATATCTATATATGTCTGATGTTTGGGGGGGTCGGTCACTGGGCCACATGCTTGAGGGACCATATGGGATGCCGGGGATCAAACTCAGGTCTGCAGCAAGCAAGGCAAGTGCACTTTCCGCTGTACTACTGCTCCAGTTCCACGTGGTGTGTGTCAGACGTCAATCAAAAATTTGGTGAGAGGGGCTGGAGCAATGGCACAGCGGGTAGGGCGTTTGCCTTGCATGCGGCCAACCCCGGTTCGATTCCCAGCATCCCATATGGTCCCCCAAGCACCGCCAGGAGTGATTCCTGGGTGCAGAGCCAGGAGCAACCCCTTAGCATTGGCTGGGTGTGACCCAAAAAGAAAAAAAAATTGGTGAGATTCATTCTATGTTTTATGCATCTGTACACTTTTTCATTTTTATTCTCACAGCTGAAATCTTCAAACCCCATTATACAATAAATAAATAAATAAAGGTAAAAGGTAAAGGCCCTCCCGTTGATCATCGATTTGCTCAAGCGGGCCCAGTAACGTCTCCATTGGAGACTTTGTTGTTACTGTATTTGGCATATCGAATACGTCAGGGGGAGCTTGCCAGGCTCTGGCATGCGGGTGAGATACTCTCGGCAGCTTGCCAGGCTCTCCGAGAGGGGCGGAGGAATCGAACTCGGGTCGCACGCAGCCAACAAACAAATAAATAAATAAATAAATAAAAGTCTACTACTAATGATCAATAATTCATTGGATGTTACAAGCAGAGATCATGGGTCATAGAAACCCCTGTTTGAAGTGAAAAGTTTCAAAGGGGCAAGCATGTGGTACTGAATCACACTTGACTGAGGGCCTGACCTAAACACGGATTTAGATGTACGTTATTCATGCCTTTCAGATTGACGAAGTTACATATTCTTCCCTGGAATTCAGTGCCCTGAAACACAAGAAACAAAGTCCTGCCACCCCACATTCAACAGCTTCTGAAACAATATATGCGGAAGTGCAACTGAAAAAAGTGTAGTGCGATTCAATGTGCTGGTGCCTCAAGACCCTTAGCCCCATCACTAGGAGATGGTTTCAACTCGGGTAAGAGGAAGAAACCTCTTCCCACCCAGTCCCCACTCTCTCTGTGGTACCTCCAAGCTGCCTGGTGACAGCACCTCCTACCCCTCGCCGCCTTGACCCTTCAGTGTCAACAGATGAAAAGATATATCCTGGAGTCTGCAGAAAAACCAACCTTCCTTTCATTGAAATTTGGCAAAGCAAACTTTGGAGGATAATTGCCAGATCCCTCCCCCTTTCCAGACATAGATTCTGTGTGTGTGTGTGTGTGTGTGTGTGTGTGTGTGTGTGTGTGTACATGTGCTCACTGGCCACACCTTGTGGTGCTCAGGTATCATTCAGTGCTGGAATCAAACCCAGAGCACCCACATACAAATCATGTTCTTTTCTTTTAGCTATCTTCTTTGCCTTTCCCCAGACTAGTTTTACATTTTCCTACTCAGGGCATCTTAATTCCTTTAACTAAGGTCCTGTACTCTCTAAGGATAATTTTAATTTGCCATAATCTTGAGATTTATGGGACTGGAGCAATAGCACAGCGGGTAGGGCATTTGCCTCGTACATGGCCGACCAGGGTTCAATTCCCAGCATCCCATATGGTCCCCCGAGCACTGCCAGGAATAATTCCTGAGTGCATGAGCCAGGAGTAACCCCTGTGCATTACCAGGTGTGACCCAAAAATAAAAAAAATCTTGAGATTTACATATCCACTGAAATGAAGTGCCAAAAATGAAAACGGAGAAAAGTAAAAGCTGCTTTCTCTCCGAAGTGCAGTAGGAACCCCATCCCCATCCCCCACCCCCACCTCAACAAGACATATGAAACCAAACACAAAGCCAGATATGGACTAGAAAATTCAATGTCTTGGTCACTGTAACAGTTATCTACCTGTCAGACCAGGGCTTAAAATCTTGCTGCTTTGCTAGAATACCACCTAGCCCCTCTTGGCAAGTGTGTTCAGAGAACCTGAGCACCAACTAGAAGAACTGTTTTCCAAGGTTCATGAGGAATACCCACATAGAGAGGAGTTATAGCCTTAGGAGGCATTCAGCTCTTAATAGGAACAATGAGCTATTACTTTGGGTCAAGAATCAAGAGCTACCATTCAGAGGTGATTTAAAATCAAAAGATTGGTGCTGGAGAAATAGTTAAGGGGTAACATGCTTGACTTGCATGCGCTGACTCAGGTTCCATTACTGAGACCACATATGGTTCCTCAAGTACTGCCAGGAGTCAGCAGAGCCCTCAACACTGCTGGTGTTACCCCAAAGCAAAAATAGTTTTAGATCTGCAGACCAGCACCAGTCCACAATTGTTAAGAAATGTACATTTTTTTAGGTACTTCACTTTTTTCCCTTTTCTATGACACATTCTATTTAAATACTTGTAACTGCCAATTTTTGTGAGAGGATTTTTTGTTTGTTTACTTAACCTATCTGTGATTTTATTTACAATATGTGTAAATCAATCTGACTGCCTTATATCATCCCTTTGGCCAGAAGCACCTCGAGGCTTTTATGTCCAGAAGTTTCATTAGAAAATTTGGAAGTAATTTTCACCATTCATGATTCAAGTAGATATAACTCAATCTCCAGGACTCTGGTACAATCATTAAGGACTAATTCTATTATAGATTTTGACTTGTGTATGTTCAATCCACCTGGCACATCCATTCACTTTCTCAGAAATCCCTGGTCTCTGTTAAGGTATGTTTGGTCCTTGAGGGGAGCACTTTTTTGAACCAGAAAGCCATACTAAAGATGATGCTTGTCTCATTCAGACTTTGAGGGCACTTGAAAGGGTAACGGGCATTGTAGAACTCTAACTGGGCCAAGCTTCTGGGACAGCCTCTGAATGTGCTTTCTCCCATGGCATCAGAGTAAACAGGGAGGGAAGAGTAGCAAATATACTCCCCACTCAGTCTTCTCCTTGGCACTGTCGAGTAAGGTTCTGTCAAATACTAAATGCTTCATCTCCTGCTGTGTCAAAGAGGCTCCCAAAGAGATGGTTAGTTGAGAGTTAGTTGAGAGTTCTCTACTCGAGTTTCTGCCCTCACACGAACTATATCTGCACTCCCGCACTTATGCTCTTCTATTGTTTAATTTTGCCTGGCCACTTCTGAATTATTTGTAAAATTTGTATTGCTTACAATAAAAATTCCGTATCAACCTGCTGCCTCAGTTAATATCAATGTTTTCTTTTTTCATTTATTTTTATTAACACACTGTAATTTACAAAGTTGCTTATAATATAGCTGTTTCAGGCATTTAGTGTTCCAACACCACCAGAGTGACCTTTCCCTCCACCAATATCTGTTTCCCTCCTAGATTGCCCCCTTAGGCACGTAACAAATTTATATTGCTTGCTCCACAAAAGTTAAAGAAATGGCAAACAGAATGATCAGAAAATGAACCAATAAAAGCCCATTTGTTATCGCTATGTGATTTTAACCTACGTAAACAAGGAAGCAGGGGGCAGATTTGAGGGATAGTTGAAAAAATTGGAGACAATTGTGGAGGGAAGGTGAACTATAAAAGATAATAAAATGCCTATTTTCATTAACATAAGTAAGTTTTCAACTCTAGAATCTAAAATATATTGCATTAAATTTTATTTTGTACTAGGCTCTCATTATGGTAATAAATCATGTCTTACCTATCATTAATAAAACATTTATTAAAATCTGTGTTAATATATTTTGGAGTTTACATATACCTGGCTGGAGCAATAGCACAGGGGGTAGGGTGTTTGCCTTGCATGCAGCCGACCTGGGTTTGATTCCTCCATCCCTCTTGGAGAGCCCCACAGCTACTGAGAGTATCTCGTCCACACGGCAAAGCCTGGCAAGTTACCCTTCAATATGCCAAACACAGTAACAAGTGTCACAATGAAGATGTTACTGGGCCTGCTCGAGCAAATCGATGAACAACAGGAGGACAGGACAGGACAGGATTGCTTGTTACTAATAAATTACTAACTGAATGATCAATTTTTTTCTTAGAAAAAATTAGCATAAATTGTAAAGTCTCACTATGGAGGTTTTAAATTCTTGTATAAGGGATTACTAAAATGTTACAAGTTAAGCCTTTTGTGTTAATGTTTTTTGTTAAGATTGATTGGCTTCTATGTTACATCCCAACCAATCTAGTGTGTTACTAGATTCTCAGTGTTGCAGAGTTTGACACAACCATGTGCTCCAGGAAATCCAGGATTTTTAACAGGGCAGAATAGCTGGAGTTAATTTTTTAACTGGGCTTTGGGTATGGACGTGACTTCCAGGACTTCTGGAAGTACAGGGAGGATGGGGGAAGGTAGCCTATTCCAACTGAGAAAGCCTGGAGATTTCAGTCACGGATTCATTTACTAGAGTTTTCAGCAGGTTAATTTCTCTATGAAGTTCAGTCCTGAGGCAACAGAATCTGGTGGGAAGCACAGCAGTGACTTTGGAGTATGGAAGCAAGCAATTGCTGGGGTTTTATTTGGGTGGGCATTGGCCCACACTGCTCCAGAGTGCCCCGGATATCTCAGCCAGGAACAGGTGTCCAAGGAATTTTTGAGATTAGCTGATCTCTTTTGAGATTTATGAGTCTGTGGAGCAAGACTAGTAGATGAGTTTACATGACAACAGAGGTGGTTTGAGGGTGTTACTACTGACACTTCAGAAGCACAGGGAGGTGGGTAAACAATGTTTTTACAAAGTTAGTTTAACTAGAAGATAGGCATTTTTGTTTTCGTTTTGTTTTGGGACCATCCCTAGTGGTTCTCAGGGCTTACTCTTAGCATGCTCAGAGGATCACATGGGGTGCTAGGGATTGAACCTGGGATGGCTGCATGCAAGGCAAATGTCCTCCCTGCTGTACTATAGTTCTAGCCCCAGGAGTTAGTTTATTTCTGATGCAGACATCAGAAAACTTTTCAATTCATTTGCACACCTAACAACAAACTGTCTAGATGCCACAGGCCACATAAACTCTTCCAACCTCTCTCAGTCTCCTCATGACAGGTAACAGTGACCCAGATATAACAGTTCAGTCATGCATCTCTGTGGCACTTTTTCTCTTCCTGTTCCCAGTCCTTTTGTTGCCTTAGAGGATCAGATCTTTCTGCTCTCAATAGCCTTCATTTATTAATGTCAATATTAACATGATCTCATTTCCTCCATTTCCAAATAATTAAAATGGTTGTGCTGTGGTTCTCCTTCTCCCTCACCCCCAACTTCTACCCTCTGCAATGATGCCTCCATGTCCAAGCCCAACAGAAGCACCATAAAATTAGATACATTTCTTGTATACAAATCCAGAGATATTTTCACAATTATCCTACTGCTGACTTTTACATCTAAGACCACGTCTTCTTTTTGAACATTTTAATCCACTTTACCCCCATCTATGCACTGTACCCTACAAGATTAGGATTCAGACCTTGCTTGTCTTCATGACTGCACCCTCTTCCCTATATGGACATGGGCCCTTCATTTGTATCTCTAGCTCCCACTACTCCCCCTAACAATACTCACACCCAAATACCTACTGAACTTGTTCACTTAAACTGGCCTCCCCCACAGAATACTCATTTCTTTCACAACACTGCTTTGCCAGCTCTAGCTCTATTTCCAGATCACCAAAGACTACTGAATTTTTTTTCTGTTTTTCTGTTTTTATTTTGGGGGCCATACCCTGGCAGTGCTCAGGGCTTTCTCTTGGCTCTGTGCTCAGGGGATCATATGGGATGCCAAAGATCAAATATGGGTAGGCATGTGCAAGGCAAGTGCCCTACTCACTGTTCTCTCTCTCTCTCTCTCTCTCTCTCTCTCTCTCTCTCTCTCTCTCTGGACCTACTGAATCTCTTTTAATATCTCTATTTTCTCCCCATTCTTATAAACCTAAATAAATCCAAACACCCACCAACTGCTGAAAGTTTAAAATCTGACTTCATGCGTCTGGTCTCTCTACTGAAAGTTTCCTATGGGAGCCTTATAAAATGAGAGTGCCCCCAGAGTAAGAAAGAGTACCTGGGTGAGAGACTGAGAAACAGCCCAAAGCAGCAGAGCTCCCTGCTGGTCTGGATGACTCAGGCTGGACAGGTCAGGAAACTGAACAGTGTCCTGAAGCCAGGCCGAGCCCTGAAGTTCCTACTCCTGAGTCCCTATTGTGAGACTACAGGCAGGCAACGTGTGATGTCTCTGGGCCTCAGATTCCTTACCTACAAGGGGGCTTTGTAACAACACATCCTCCACAGGGCTGTTGTTGGAACTCAATGAGTTAATCCATGTGTGAAATGCTTAGAAGATAACTGGCAAACATCCATGTGTGAAATGCTTAGAAGATAACTGGCAAACAATAAATGTTCCCTTTTTGTCATGACCACAGTCTCCCAGCCCCCTGATATCACATTTTCACTCATTTCTTTAGTTGCCTTCTGTCTGACTGTACACTTGTTAAAATAGGTGCTATTTTACAATCTTCATTCTCAGAACCTAACCTAAGGCCACATGCATCAGAGACACTGATCAGAGGCCCAAAGTTAGCTTCTGTTTTCTCCCCCACTTATTTCATTTAGGAATTACAGCTTCAATTCCTTTGATTCTTTGGCCTCCATCAGCTTCCTGTCTTGTCCCTGCCTCTTCCTTGCCTCTGCCTCAGAGATGTTCACTCACTCATGTACTCTACAGCTCTTCCCTGGCTGCTGTCCCAGTGCTCCCTCTCTGAGACAGCTTTATTTCTAAACAGTCTCTGCCTCACCTTTTCTGCAATTGAAATGGATGAAAGGAGGCAGAATTTCTATACTGTTGGACTTTTACCTATTCTAAGAAGTAGAGTCCTTTAGAAAAAAGAAAAGTAGGTAAGTTGGTAGCCAGAACATAGAGCTACCTTCAAACCTCGTGCCATCTTTCTGGAAATCTGTAGGTATAGTTGTACAAGGTACAACTAACACTTCACTTGTGGTGTAAAGTGTTCAGGCACTGTCAGGGAGAAAAAAGCGTCAATGCAGGAAGGCCAGCTTAATTTCATTTTTCACACACACAAAGAATGAGTGAGTCAGAGAGAGAGAGAGAGAGAGAGATCATCATTCTACTCATCTAAAGTGAGAGTTGAAGCAAAAGGGAATATGAAGATTCAGAACCTAAAAACTAAAAGATTACTCCAGTCAGCTACAGGTTTAGAGATGAGGGAGAAAGGTCAGGTGTAGATCTCACTAGATTCATAGCTCTCTGGACAAAGTACCCTCTGCCCTGAGCAGCATTGTAGAGCTGGAGCATGATCCTGGTCTTCCAGGAGTGGGAGTCGCTGGTAGAATATTAACTAACTGACGAGGAGTTATGGAAATGGAATCCTGCAGTACTTCTCCCTACCCAAATTCTCCAAGTTTCCTCTAAGATGAGGACAATCAAAGTTATTTCTCCACCTGGGATTTGGTGGTTCTTCTCTATTAAAAGGGTGGTGGAAAGCATGAATAACAGACACAAACAGGACACTTCAGAGAACACATGAGAAACAGGAACTCAAACATACTTTGTGAAAAGGTCAAAGACTTATGCAACATGCCAATATCCCTTCACAGTCTGAAATCTGTGACAGAGAGGACTGCCCTATATTTGCAGACCTATCTGAACCCAGAATTCCTTATTTCATTTTTGACATAAAATTATTACAATGAAGATGAATAACCATGAAAATGAAGCTAGTATTAGAAATACCACGATGGGGTTAAAAGCTACAGCTCAAGGGCTGGAGCACATAGTTTGTCAGGGGGAGTCCTGACATTACATGGTCCACCAAGCACTGCTGGGAGTAGTCCCCCAAAAAAGTAAATATCAGGAAGAGAGGCTGAGGGTGTGGCTCAAATAGTAAAGCAGATGCGGTGCATGTGTGAGGCCCTAGGTTTAATTCCTGGCACTGTGTGGCCCCTAAGTACCACTTGGTATGTTCCTGACCACTCCCTCCCCAACACCAATAGGTGCAGCTTCCACAATAACAACAAATAGACATAATAAAAATTAATTAAAATATCTTAAAGGAGAGCTAATTGGAATGTTAATGGAAGGCCAGTGTGCTGGAAAATTATGAGCAAATGGAGAATGCAACAAGGTTTGTGAAATAAAAGGCAGCATATTCTAATAGTTCTCCTATATTATTATAATTTGCATTTTAGGAGAGTGTTATATGGTAAACTAAGTTCATGCTGCATTAGCACTCTTGCAGAACTATTATAAATGGTACAAAGAGAAGTAAAAACTATAACTGAGTAATTGGTTTGACTGCTAGAAATGCAGATCTGGAAGGAGATCAAGACTTAGAAACTGATCCAGCCTTTTTGGAAGATGATATAGACATTCCTCA